ATTAACACTAATACCGAAGCATTAAATTATTTTTTTAACACTAATGCCAAAGCATTAAGTTAATTTTTTCATTCTAATACAAAAGCATTAAAATTAGTATTATTTAATGCAATGCTAATGCTAAGCCACCACCCCTAGTTGAAAACAAATGTTATTGTTTAGAGCTATTAAAATGAATCAACATTTGAGGAACTTTGATAAAATGTTTTTACTTTCAAGATGACGAAAATAAATCAAAGTCGTTTTCATGTTAAGAGATATTCTAATTTATCAGTGTATACGAAACGTTACGTGATGCTGTATCAATTTCAGCAATAGCATGTACATATGTTTTCTATCGATTAAGTAGAATTTCGGTGACTGGACAATTCGTCGCGGACAATTCGTCGCAGACTATTCGTGGCACGGACAATTCGTCGCACAGACAATTCGTCGTCGGACAATTCGTCGCATGAAAAATTCGTTGCACGGACAATTCGTCGCACACGTAATTAATTGTAACAAAATTAATATGTATGTAAGACAAATTTTTATCGATCGAGAGTCACTTAATTATGAATGATAAATAATTTTATTCAAGAGAAACAAAAATTAACACAGAAAAACAAAAAAATAATTCTATCTATATTGAGTGACATTATTCTGTTTTTGGAATCTTTTATATTAAATCTTTAGATTAATTGATTTTTCTCAATCTTCTCAAAATCGTATTAGAAAATTGGATTTGACTTTCGAATGATAACACAGTTATTCAAAAATCAATATTTATTCATTAATTGAAAAACAAATTCACTTAAGTCAATTAAGAAAAGGGACATAAGTTCATTCATATGAATTAATTACGTATGCGACGAATTGACCATGCGACGAACTGTCCATGCGACGAACTGTCTATGCGACGAATTGTCTGACGACTAATTGTCCGTGCGACGAATAGTCTGCGACGAATAGTCCGCGACGAATTGTCCGTGCGACGAATTGTCCTAGCGCCAGAATTTCATGCATCATATACTTTTTGATCATTATAGGTAATAATTATCATTGCCACGTGATCTTTCTTATCGTCATATGTTTCAAGTAGAAATAGGCGGCAGTCAAGTCGACTTGTTCATCGTATGAGATTGTCATGTTTTGCAGTAATTATGAAAGTATCAATGATGAAAATTTATCTTTTAAAGAAAAGAAAATGTTGAGAGAAATTTGATATAATGCGATTATTGATTTGGTGCATGATTGAATACATATTACTGTTTAATTGATTACTTTACTCAAATAATTCCTTAAATGAAGTTGTATCACCTAAATGGTGGAGATGATCAATGTTATGAAAGAATTAAACAAGAATCCTTGGAGTACATAAAACTGTCATTTTTTTCTTTTTTTAATCTCTTTATTGATTTCGATCAAGCATAAATTTGATAAGCAGATCAGGAAAAATCTTATCATGCATGAATATTTTTAGTTTTTATTTGATATTGAAACGGTGTTACGAAATCATTTACAAAAAACAGAAAAGCATTTTCGAAGACAGATTAATTTTGGCATTGTCCTGATGGACGTTTCTCATAGTAAAGACTGCAGTTTTGCGATTGAGAAAAAATTGATGTTTTGCAGCAACTGTAATATGGAAGAACATCAGCAATCAAATGTTTACCTTGTTGTATAATGTCACCCAATGGTGTTTCTGCATCGAGTGTACCAGCACCTTTCCAAGGATCTGATATCCATTGACCATTTTTATCATAACATGCTTGAGCACCTGGTCCTGTATTCGAGATGGCACTTCGATAACAACCATTAGCACCCTTATGCATATCACAAGTATTTGGCTGTTTGGATGCATCACAACCTGGATCTACTGACCAACCACCAGGCAAAGTTTCAGAAAACGCAGGTGAAATACTGCATGGCGGTTTTAATGTTTTGGCTAGAAGAGTAGCGGGATCAGGTTGAGACTGGTACCATAGGAGACAACTAGACAGGCCACGATGAAGTATTTCTTGATGATCCAAATCTTCATTGTCGGTATTAAATGGAATACTATTGATCAACGCGGTCGTTAATAAGATAAGTAAAGTGTATGCAATTGCATGCATTTTTCAAGTATAAAATATTCGATATAAAATACATCTTTATATAGTTACCACTTTAAATGCCTTGATAGATAGACTTCCTACATCAGATTAAGAAATAATATGCGATTTTTTTATTTGCGTCATACACTTTTATGAAAGTCACACAATTGATAGTAATCAATCTCTATTAGATAACATGCCGAGTAAGCACACAAACTATATAACCTTTGATCGCAGGATATATGTGTGGGTGTGAGGTATGGGATGTAGGTATGGGAGTCTGAGTGTGGGATGTGGAATGTAGGTGTGGATCTGAGTGTGGGGCGCTCTCTTAAGAAAAGGGCATCATACGGAGCCATTGAGAGTTTTAGCGAAGATGCTGAACTTTTTAAGGTTCGTTTTCTTCAATACTAAACTGTCAAAGATTCGAGATGATTTTAAGAACCATTCCAAGTAAAAACAATGGTTCCAAGTGTTTAAAAGTCTTCTATCCGGCACTCTTCTCTTTACTGCTGAACTCTTTTTTTTACACAGATGGTTTTAGCGCAAGTCGCTTGAACCATTCTGAAAAAGATGTCAAACGAATCTTCCGAGATTCAGGGGAACACTACTATATCTTTGGATTATGGTACAGAGGCAGGAAACCTCGTCAAAATTTTCCTACTCTCATAGATTTCATATATAAGCTTCTCCAGATGGCAGAAGCAGAAAGCGCTTCATAGTGTAACTCTCAAAGGTAATGTCGTCAGATAAAGATTCACCGTGTTTGACATAGACATGAGCGCAAGAAGGAAACATAGCACTTTTGTGCTTTGATGCGCTTTAAAGTATTTTATTGCACTTATACACAGAGTTGAGGGATTATTGTAACGCGACTTAATTAAAGAAAAGTTGATAATATTCGATTACAGTGTTTTCGGTCAAGAGAGGCTTATCTCAAGAAAATAGCGGAATTTTTATAAAACTTGACTAAAAGGTCTCAGAGTTGAGGAGTCCGAATCTACAAGCGGTTTTCTCGAAATTTCCAAGTTTCATTTTTTTGTTAGAGCGAGGCTATTTTTTGAAAATAATCATTTTTTTATAAAGTTTGATTAAAGATTTTCGAGATTGAGGAATTTGAATCTATAAGTAGTTTCTTGAAATTTCCGAGTTCCATGTTTTCGATTAGGCAACGGCTAATTCAAGAAAATAGTAGAATCTTATGAAAGTTGCTCAGATCGCTCAAATTGGATCATCCTTAACGGAAAAAAAAATCAAACTCGAAAATTTCGACAAATCACTTATAGTTTCGACTTCCTCGACTTCGAAGGTCTTTGATTAAAATTTACAAGAAATTGTCATTTTCGAAAAATAGTTTTCTCCTAACGGAAAAAATGAAACTTGGAAATTTCGAGAAAGCCGCTTGTAGATTCAGATTCCTCAGCCCCGAGACCTTTTAGTCAAGTTTTATAAAGGATGAGGGTGGGTAAGCCCATTTTTCTTCTTCCAACGAAATTAACTTCTTTTATCGATTTGAAGTAAGACATGGCTCCTGATGATATTCCACAGGTCTTTTTTCGTTTAGCTCACCAAACGGTTTTTGGGACCTCTGGTCCCTCACACAGATCTCTCGAAAACTTTTTATTTTTGATTCTGATTAAATAAGTATTTATTGATAGAATCAGGTATGCTGACTACGAATATCAATATATTAAGTGTTGAATGCTTTTTAGTAAACTAGAAAACTAGCTCTTTTTAAGTCGCTCGTAGGACTCTATATCCAAGGTTTTGATTCTATCTCTTCTTCAATTTATTATTCTAACTAGACGAAAAAGCATCCATTATAACTAAAACAACATGATCTTATCCAATAGAAACTATAAGAGTTCCTTGAGAACATCATTGACCACAAAACTTAGAAATACCGGTTAAAACCTGCTTGTCTCAGATTTCCTTAGAGATTGTGGTTTCCAAATATTTTGATCGCAAACTTGAAACAAAGTGAAATCTCGAATGAATACCTGATTTTGGAGGGTGTGGGTGTGGATATAGATATCTCATAATAATACACCCACACCCACACCCCACATACCCAGACTCAGATCCAGATCAAGACCCAGACCCACACCCTCGAGATAATATCTGCAGATGTGGAATTGAAATCGATGGTGAAAATACTCGAATCAAATACTGGTTAAATGGAAAATTTTTAGGTACATTTTTTGAACATCAATCAAGTATTGGAAGATCGACGACAAAATGTAATATGTTACCACATGGACATACCACATCCTACTTTTTTGCTGCTAGTGTTCAAATATTATTTTTAGGTTTGGGTTGTTTCGACTTTATATTTAGTCCAGAAGATATGGCAGACTGTCCGTTACCGGATGGATATAAGCCACTATTACTGCCCAGATTACTCGATATTGAAAATTCTATCGTACCTTATCCATATAGAGCCTATTTAGTTAATTATAACGATATACAAAATTATGTTCATAAAAGACAAAGTACAAATTCAACAAATATTCTATGTGATTTGATCAATGAATATCATCTTGATACTTCATATACTCTAGATGATTATAAACTGATTTTACCAAAAGATAGTAGCGGATTCCCTTTATCAGTAATCAATCATCGATCATCGTTGACCATCAACTTTGATTTTGAAGTTTTAAATAGAATCCCAAATCATATAAATGAACAATTTGATATCCAATTATTTATATTAGATACAACGGAAATCTTTTCAGTACGAATACTGTCGAATAAAATTGATACTCGAACACGAACTGCTATTGTAATTTGTTCAAAAGAACAGAAAATCAAAATTTATTTAAAGAATCTATGTCAAAGAATTGATAGCAGTTTTGAAATAGAAACAATGATAAATTTCAACTTTCATATATTACCTAATAGTGGTGTTCGAATAAAAAATCTAGCTATTTGAAACTATGCTCTCTCTGAAGATTATATTAGACGTCTATTTACTTATAGTCTATCATATATAGCAGTTGATTATATACAATTGAAAGAATATCGACAACAAGCAAATACATTTCGATTTGGTTAAAATCAACGACAATTTTAAAACGATTTACTTATTCCATTCAGTGAATGATTCGAAGAGAATCTGTGGGAGAAAAAGAAAAAACAAATTGATATTGACGAATCGAAATTTTTTAAAACTATTGATGGAACCGATGAATCAACTATACAATTATTTGGTAATAGAACCTATTTAGTTCTTACAAAATCCATCGAACAATGGTCCGAATATGCAATCATTGTTGATATTTCTATATCTAATTTACCGGCAACTGATGAATATTTCACAATTTTCTCGACAAATTCACAATCCGAAATTTATACAACACATCGTGGAAAAATTCGTCTATTTAGTAATGGACAAGTAAACAAGAGTAGAACACCATTACAATTAAATGAATATATGCGTTTGCTTATTAATATTCCAAATGACAATGTTGAAATTAATATTAATGGAATATTGCAGATATGTGCCAATGTTGATCATGATCAATTTCTAATAAAAACCAATCGAATTGATCTATTTCGAGAAGTAGATTTGACGATGAATACTTTAAACGATGAAGTACTTCGAATTCAATGTAAATCGATTACATTTCTAAATCGATCAATAAAGGTTGATTTGATTAATAAACAAATGAAATCATCAAACTATTCATTAACATCATTGGTTGCACCAACTTGTCCAATGATTCCATCAAATTTAATTTCTATTGCTTATAAAGATGAATGGATAAAATTTTTTATAAAAGAAAATAATACAACAAATATTCAATTTATTGATACGATTATACGAGAATAAATCGATGAATTATTTAAATTAGATTATGATAATCAACGAAAAACTAATTTAATCATTTTATCAAGAATAAATCCATTGATTAAACAAGATACATGGATAAAATTTAGAAAATATTTCACGATTCGATAGTAATGATGAGATAATAATCATTGGTCAACTTATATGTGATTATGAAACTTCTATAGAAACATCAGACTCTTTGAACAATTCAGTAGATATCAATCTGATCGAATAAGAATAAAGATCTACGATTCGAAAAGGATTGGTATCAACAAACAGTTTATAGTTTGCATATATCTGAGAGTATATTTGAATGGATGAATAATAAATCATCGAAAATGAATTTAGCTAACACATATCAACTATTAGATTTGAGCCAATCTGAACCAAAACTCATAATTGAAATATTAGATCAACGAAAACTAATTCAGAAGTCAATTCAATACTCTCATAAACAGATTTCACGAAAACAATATTTTCAGTCATGATTTGCCTGTCAACATCGATTAATATCGATCTATGCTTGAAATACTATTTTCAATATTTTGAAAGTTTGCTCAAATAGTGAGTCTAATTTATTTACTTTAGAAAAACTAGCTGATTATATATTTATTGTAAAATTATTCCGATTATGAGACTACCATCATACATATAGAAGCACTCATGTAGATGAAAATATTGATAAAATAACTTTAGTAATTCATTCAATTCTTCAATTCCAAGTGAAAGAATTTATTAAACAAATAACTACTCACAAAGAAATTACTATCCATATATTACAAAGTAAAGCGCCACTACTTTATCAATTACAAAAATATATTATTATTCAATTGATCCAATTTCTATTGAAACCTTCATCATTTTTATACGAATTACACAATGACAAATCAACGATTATCGATGAAGAAATGATGATGAAACAACCAAATTTGAATTTCATCTTCAAAATGTTAGATCTCTTCGTTAAAGTAGCTCTTTTTTCGACCATCATTGATTAATCTAATGTTCGATTTATTTTGACTACTTCCAAACTACACCTCAAAAATATTTATTGTTCGTCTCTTTGTTACGTAAGCAGAATTATTTACGATTTATGTTCAATTGATTGCTTTTCTGCTTAACCAGAAGCCTAGTTATCGTACCATGTGTTCATCAGGAGGTACGTGGTTCAAGTCACACTTTCATGTCTACATGATTAGTTTAAAATGCGGGGAATAACACTTTAAAGTAAATTACTGAGAAAATTAGTCACTATAGAACATCGACAATGGAAGTATATTTCGGAATTTGTTGAGTTTTTCATATGTCTATAGAGGATAATGAGTTCAGTATACTCTGAAATTTTCGGCTCGATCTCATCACTTTTTACTATACAAGAAGAATGACGTTCTCATTTCAATTCGTGGAACTTTTAACCTCCCGTTGCTCTAACTAGAACTATTCAGGTAGAGTGTGAGTGGGGTGTGGGTGGGTGTGGGTGGCTGGTGGCTGGTGGGGTGTGGGTGTGGGTGTGGGTGTGAGTGAGTGTGGGTGTGGGGTGTGGGGTGTGGGTGTGGGTGTGGGTGTGAGTATGGATTGGTGTGCATGTGAGTGTGGGTGGGCGTTGGTGTGACTGTTCCCTTACCTCATACTCACATCCTCACACCCATACGACGCCACCCATCCACACCCACACTCACGCCCCACCCACACCCCCGCCCACCCATACCCTCACACCCACACCCACACCAACACCCACACCCAAACCCACCCACACCCACACCTACACACCACACCCACACCCACACACCACATCCACACCGACATCCACACTCCACACCCACACTCACACACCCCACACCCGCACCCATACCGGCACCCACATCCTCACACCCACACCTACACCCACACCAACACCCACATCCACACCGACATCCACACTTCACACCCACACTCACACACCCCACACCCGCACCCACACCCATACCGGCACCCACACCCCACACCCACGCCGACACCCACACCCACACCGACACCCACACCCACACCGACATCCACACGTCACACCCACACCCACCCCCTCAAGATTGATTTATAGTTGAAATATCTTAGAAAGTGTTGCATAAATTCGATTCTCAAGAAAAATCATCATAAAGATTGATGATATTTACAATTTTCATACTTAGATTAAATGGTTTAATTATAAATTTTCTAGTAATGTTAACAGATCATTAGAAAATGTCATTACATATATATCTTTCTCAGTTAAAAGTGCTTCTCACTCAACAAATAATTCTTCATCTATAAAATATCGATTTTCTACAAACAAAATATGTCATAGAACATTATCAAAAGCTAAAATACAAAGAAATTCTAACTTGACGATTTCTGTTGAGCTTTTTCATTTGTAAATAATTGTAAATTAAGATGATTATGTAAAAGTTCTGCTTCAGCATAAACTTCTGTAGAAGATGATTGATTTTAATGAAAATTAGTAACATGTACATCAAAACATTCAGGACTATCTGTATCATCGTCTCTCTCATCACTAAGATCAGTACATTTATTTAAATTAAATGCTGATTGAGTTGCTTACCATTGTTCATATTCATTATCTTCAATTTTTATGTTTACAATTGCCATCTGAAGCAATAAAATAGTTTCATTTATTCATTCATATTTTTTTCAAAAATGATCTTATCAAAATTCTTTGACTATGATAGAACAGACAGAGTTCAAGAAGCAAAATCTTTCAATCGTTCTTTTGTTTTTTGTTTACAAACAAGAAAATATTTCATTTGAATTACGCAACAAAGTATTATCGATTGTTGTTGAATGTATTATTCATATTCACTACAGTTGAGTATTATTAAATTCAATAAGGATCAGAGTATTGGTAAAAAAAGAAAAAAACTAAATATGATAGATTATTCTTCGAGAATACTTATAGTCTGCTATCAATAATCAAAAATAGCTATAAATAAAAACAGAACATATTATTTAGTCGGCGACAAAAATTTTTGCTCTTGGGGTGTGGGTATTAGTAGTTTCATCACCGACACCCATTCACCCTCACACCCACACCCTATTATTTCTATTTTTTAAATGAAAAAGTAGTTTTTGCAATATAATAACAGAGAAGAAGACACTTTTTCCACCAATTTTACACAAAAAAATGCTTGATTTTGACTGATGGCCACATTTCTTTTTATCATTATGCAAAATAAATGACATCTATTGATAAGGAATATGCAACATCTAAAAAAGAAACTTTTGAATGAATAAATTCGATTGTCTTATGTTCAAGAAATTTTCTGTTACACTTTGGTCATGCTAAACCTCCGCTAGGTGAACAAACTGATTTATACTTTTAATATTTGCATCAATTACGTAAATAGATGTCGAATTTAAATTTACAATCTTTAGTAGTAAATGTTTATTTGTTTGATGAATAATATGCTTTTTCATAGATACAGTTGAGCACGAGGAATGAATATTGAATAAAAATCTTTCGTTAATAGCTGAGAAAATTAAAAAAGAATTATAATAAGAAAATATGGTGTGTGTAAGTCGGTCTCGGCATAGTTGTGTGATGAATTCCAGGTCCCAAATTGAGGTGATCAATATGCATATACAACAACCTCTGAGATCCAGAATGATATTCTGAAAATTTTTATTCCCTAGACTGAAAGGCTAGGGTCTAGAAACCGAAATTCACCTGTGTCTGTCTGTCTGTCCGTCTGTCTGTCTGCCTGTCTGTCTGTCTGTCCGTCTGTCTGCCTGTCTGTCTGTCTGTCTGTCCGTCTGTCTGTCTGTCTGTCTGTCTGTCTGTCTGTCTGTCTGTCTGTCTGTCCGTCTGTCTGTCTGTCTGTCTGTCTGTCCGTCTGTCTGTCGATAAGTAACGCGGTCAAAATGGCCATTTTTTTGGCACATGTAACCATTTTTTTGGCACAAACGACCATTTTTTTGGCACAAGTGACCATTTTCTTGGCACAAACGGTCATTTTCTTACTAAAATTAACTAGGTAACTATGGTACAAATGAGAATGTAACTGTGGCACAAACGGTCATTTTTCTGGTACAAACGACCACGTAACTATGGCACAGGTGACCATATAGCAACCATGGTACAAACAACTATTCCGGTAACTATGGCACAGGTGACCATATAGCAACCATGGTACAAACAACTATTCCGGTAACTATGGCACAGGTGACCATATAGCAACCATGGCACAAACAACTATTCCGGTAACTGTGGCACAGGTGACCATATAGCAACCATGGTACAAACAACTATTTCGGTAACAATGCCACCGGTGACCATATAGCAACCATGGTACAAACAACTATT